CGTTGGTGCTGGCGTAGGCGCTGGGGTAGGTGCCGGCGTCGGCGCGGGCGTTGGTGCTGGCGTAGGCGCGGGCGTTGGTGCTGGCGTAGGCGCTGGCGTGGGCGCGGGCGTTGGTGCTGGCGAAGGCGCTGGGGTAGGTGCCGGCGTCGGAGCGGGCGTTGGTGCTGGCTGGCGTAGGCGCGGGCGTTGGTGCTGGCGTAGGCGCTGGCGTCGGCGCGGGCGTTGGTGCTGGCGTAGGCGCGGGAGTTGGTTGCTGGCGTAGGCGCTGGCGTCGGCGCGGGCGTTGGTGCTGGCGTAGGCGCTGGGGTAGGTGCCAGCGTCGGCGCGGGCGTTGGTGCTGGCGTAGGCGCTGGGGTCGGCGCAGGCGTTGGCGCCGGCGTAGGTGCCGGCGTGGGCGCTGGCGTAGGTGCTGGCGTAGGCGCTGGCGTTGGTGTTGGCGTAGGCGCTGGGGTAGGTGCTGGCGTAGGTGCTGGCGTAGGTGCGGGCGTTGGTGCTGGCGTAGGCGCTGGCGTCGGCGCGGGCGTTGGTGCTGGCGTAGGCGCTGGGGTAGGTGCCGGCGTCGGCGCGGGCGTTGGTGCTGGCGTAGGGTCGGCGCGGCGTAGGCGCGGCGTAGGCGCGGGCGTTGGTGCTGGCGTAGGCGCGGGCGTTGGTGCTGGCGTCGGCGCTGGGGTAGGTGCCGGCGTCGGCGCGGGCGTAGGCGCGGGCTTTGGTGCTGGCGTAGGCGCGGGCGTCGGCGCTGGCGTAGGTGCCGGCGTCGGCGCTGGCGTTGGTGCTGGCGTAGGCGGTGCTGGCGTAGGTGCTGGCGTAGGCGCTGGCGTTGGTACTGGCGTCGGCGTGGGCGTAGGTGCCGGCGTAGGCGCGGGCGTGGGCGCCGGCGTCGGCGTCGGCGTAGGCGCCGGCGTAGGCGCTGGCGTTGGAGCTGGCGTAGGCGGCATTGGCGTTGGTGCTGGCGTCGGCGCTGGCGTAGGTGCTGGCGTAGGCGCAGGCGTAGGCGCGGGCGTCGGAGCTGGCGTCGGGTCTGGCGTGGTGCTGGTACCGGTCGTCGTCAGGACCCCCCTGCAGATGTACCGAAAGTTCGCCTGGGCGACGGCGTCTTCTGAGCTAGCGTCAGCGAAGAATATCTTCGTGTCCGCGGTCTGAAGAACGCATGTAAACGTTAAACCTTGGTTTGAAAAATCATTTGTCACAGCAGACTGGTAACCGAAACGGCTTCTGGCAGGTCCGAAACACTCTGCACTGCTTGTGATATCTTCCATGCCAGCCTCGTAGCAAGTCTCTCCTGCTTCCAGAAGCGCGTAGTTCTGGAAGGAGGTGGTCGTGGCTGTCGCGGTCGTGGCTGTCGCGGTCGTCGTCGAGCTGAAGGTCAGGGAGGTGCTCGTAATCGGAATGGACGTAGCCGTAGTAGTGTATGTCCCCATGCAGAAGAACTGGTAGTCGGCAGATCCCTCCGTTTGAGCGCCGGTTGACTGCGAAAAGATCATGGTGTCCGAGGCGCTTTCGTAGACACAGCTGACCTTGAAAGCCGTACTCGGGATGTAGCTCGTTGTTGCGGGCTCGATATTGGAATAGGACGCTGCTATGTTGAAACAGTACTCGGAACTCGCGACGTCTTGCAAGCCCACGTCGTAGCACGTCTGGCCCAATGGCACCAAAGTCATTGCAGGAGGCTCTGTGGCTGTTGAAGACGACGTGGACGTGGCAGAGGTCGACGTGGCAGAGGTCGACGTGGCAGAGGTCGACATGGGGGTGGCCGTTGCCGTGATCGCACTGGAGGTTGTCGTGGAGAATGAGCCTGGGCAAATGTATCTCCACGTTGGGGACGACGTCGTGTCGGAGCCGGAGGTCGCGGAGAACAGAACCCTGTCCAGGTCGGAGTCGTAGACACAACCGAAAGTAAACGAAGAAGAGGTCCCGAAATCTATTGGATCTCCAGTTCCAGTCACATTGACGTACGTGATCGCGGGGCCGAAGCACTCCGTGGAGTCCGACGGGTCTAGGAGGCCCACGTCGTCGCAAGTCAGGCCTGGTTCCAAATAGCTATAGACTATAGACTTGAGTTAGCCGGCGGTCCTCCTCATGCTGCGAACCTCCCAACGCCACATCCGTCGCCCCCGGCCATGCAGGCAGGAGTGCGACAGCCGACGAGGCCTTGCTGTCTGCAATCGCGGACAACGTCTTGTTGCGAACGCGACTGTCCGCGACGCCGCGGCTGGCGTCGAGCTCTGGCTGTGTGCCCCGCAAACCAGTCCGCGCCCCGGCCGCCTCGCCAAGTGAGGTAGCAGAGGGCCACGTCGTCTCCACCTTCGCGTTGCCATCCTCGGCTGATGGGTTGGTGGCGTCCGCGCCGCCAACGCCAAGTGAGAACACGGCGATGGTGCCCAAAGACAGCTTCACGAGCGTCAAGACAAAATGTTGACGCACATGCGTGGCCATGTGCGCCGAGGCTGGCAGCAGACCAGTGGAGCTGCTTTGGCTCCACATGTGCACAGCGACAGCAGCGCAAGCTTGAGCCCGAGGCTGCGGGCCTGGTGGGGATACGCAAAGCGTGCAGAATTCGGTGTGTTCTGCCGTGCTCCTCGTGCTCCTGTGTGTTCTGCCGTGTTCCCGTGTGTTTTTTTTATGTTCTGCCGTGCTCCTGTGTTCTGCCGTGCTCCTGTGTGTTCTGCCGTGCTCTCGCGCGTTCTGCCGTGCTTCTGCGTGCTGGGCTGCCGTGATCCCGTCCATGTTCTGAAGATGTCCCTGGCGAAAAGTTCAGTTTCAACACGCATGGTCTTAAATCAGCTTTTTCAACATCTCGTTCTTGCAAGGATGTCTCAGGCGAGATTCCAATGTCCATGCGTGTGCTAAATTGGCGGTTTTCAATTTCTGGTGGATGTCTCAGGCGAAATGCTTGTTGTTGTGAAAGACGGTGTTGCGAACAACTAACTCCATTGTTCGAGGATGTATCAAGCGAAATGCGCATTTTGAGGAATCTCGAGTGCGCTCTTGGAGTCAGATTGTGCCTCGTGTGGGGGGCCGTTTGGATGCCATCAGCAACGCTGTCAGTGCGATGTCACACACATCTTTTTTTGAAGATGACCCTCGCGAAATCGTCATTTTTAGAAGCCTGGTTTGGGCCGTCTGGAAGCCTTTCCAAGAGCGATCCCAAGACGATGTTAAAGCAGAAATGTTCAAAAATTGTATGCTGTGCTTTTTCCCCAAACAACTTGCTGAACGGGGTGCTGTTGTGATAGAAGCTAACTCCGGCCGAGGGAAGTCGGAGCAGAGACGTCCTCACAAAAATTTGATGGTCCGGGCCGTTTCGCTTGAGACATCCTCACAACTCTCGTTTCTGAATTGGCCGGGATTGGCCGTTTCGCCTGAGACATCCTCTTAAAGTTGCGCTCCGGGACGCCGCGCGAGAGGTGGTCCGGGCCGTTTCGCTTGAGACATCCTCGAAACTCTGAGCCCCGAGGTGCCGTGCGAGAGGTGGTCCGGGCCGTTTCGCCTGAGACATCCTCGAAACTCTGAGCTCTGAGATGCCCTGCGCGAGGTGGTCCGGCCCGTTTCGCCTGAGACATCCTCGAAACTCTGACCTCGGAGATGCCGCGCGAGAGGTGGTCTGGCCCGTTTCACCTGAAACATCCTCGAACTTCTGAGCTCTGAGATGCACTGCGCGAAGTGGTCCGGCCCGTGTCGCCTGAGACATCCTCGCAACTCTGAGCTCTGAGATGCCGTGCGCAAGGTAGTCCGGCCTGTTTCGTACAAGACATTCTCGCAACTCTGAGCTCCCAGATGCCGCGCAAGAGGTGGTCCAGCCTGGGGGCCCAGAAGACCACATGTTACATATCCTCCCTGGGACCCTGGGAGCCCGCCTGAGACATCCTCGAAGTTCTGAGCTCTGAGATGCCCTGAGCGAGGTGGTCCGGCCCGTCTCGCCTGAGACATCCTCGCAACTCTGAGCTCTGAGATGCCGTGCGCAAGGTGGTTCGGCCCGTTTCGCATACGACATTCTCGCAACTCTGAGCTCCCAGATGCCGCGCAAGAGGTGGTCCAGCCATGGGGGCCCAGAAGACCACATGTTACATATCCTCCCTGGGACCCTGGGAGCCCCAGGAGGCCCCACAGAACTCCAGGAGGCCGCAGGACGCCCAGGACAGGCCCCAGGGGTCCCCAGGAGATTCCCAGGAGGTGCAGGAGGCCCCAGGAGGCCCCCTATCAGAACGTGTCAAGTTAATACACATCCGGTGTCGATTCGTTGATTTTTCCTGCTCTTGTGCCCCCCCCCAATTTTGAGAGGCCCAAGCGGCCATAGGTTAGATATCCCCTCTGGGAGCCCCAAGAAACCCCGCACTCGACAATCTCTCCCCTGAAACCTACCGATGCCCCCCACCTCGCCCCCCGCCGCGCCCCGGCATCCCAGGGCTGCCGCCTCTGCCGCCGACCCCAAAGAAGTTTGTCTTGTTGGGGGCCCGGGGGCCTTTGGACTTCCGGGGAAGTCATAGATCGCCCATGCGGGCCCTGGCGCGATCTTCGCCATTGGGGCTGACAGAAGGGGGGGAGCGGGGGGGGAGGGCGCATGGCGATGAGGGCGACGACAAGGGGGAGGAGGGTGAAAACGGGAAGAGGGATGCGGAGGCGGAGGGCGAGGGCGAAGATGGCGTTCCGCCGCGGCGCGGCAGGCTTGGATCATTCGGCGCTTCGGGGTCTTCTGGAACCGTCTCTCCGGCTTCTTGGGGCCCACTTGGCCCGTTTTGGAGCACTTTATGCATTAATGACATGTCCGTCGGGGGGTGGTCTTGGGCCGGAGGGGGCGTCGAAATCCAGGCGGGGGTCCCTGGGGTGGATCAGGGGGGGGGGATCGCGCGCGCCTGGCGCCCGCCGCCCGCCCGCTCGCCGCCCGCCCGCCCGAAATCTGCCTAAAACCTTCGTCCGGAAGAATCCAGGATTCGAGGAAACTTCAAAAACAACTTCCTGAAACCTTCCGCAGGAAGAGTACAGGATTTTTCAAAAAAAAAACTGTAAAACCTCCCTGAGGAAGAATCCGTGATTTCTGGAACCTTTCAAAGAACCTCCCTAAAACCCTTCTCACGAACAATCCAGGATCCCTGTAACCTTTCAAAGAAAGGAGGAGCACACCTTCCCAAAACCCTCCCCACGAGGATTCCAAGATTCCTGGAACCTTCCGAAACACCTTCCTGAAACCCTCCTCACGGAGCATCCAGGATTCCTGGAACCTCCCCCAAAAAAACTTTCTTAACACCGTCCCCAAGAAGAACCCAGGATTCCTGGAACCTTCAAACAAACCTTCCTAGAACCTTCCTCTGGAAAAATCCAGGATTCCTGGAACCTTCCAACAAAACCTTCCTAGAACTTCCCCCCGGAAGAATCCAGGATTCGTGGAACCTTCAAAAAAAACCCTAAAACCCTCCCCGCGAAGAATCCAAGACCCCTGGAACCTTCCAAGCAAAATATACAATCCCTTCCCGCTGGGGCAGCTCTACGTTGCTGGGAAGAGAAGCGCATCCTACGCTGGGGTCTTCTGGGTTGTGGACACGGGTCAGGTCCAGTCCATCATGTTTCTCCTCCTCCTCATTTTCCAGGTGTTCATCATTTGGATGTTCTCCGCCATCAGCTTCAACCATCTCTTCATCATCATCATTGGGCCAGTTGTTCTTACCTTGAAGACCGTGACGCTCATAGAGGACCTCAGCAGGAACAGGTACCTCGGGAGCGCGTGGGGGCGACCAACGCCCCAATAACCCCATGAGACAACTTGGGGAGTACCGACTCCGTGGCGTGCTGAGCTTCGGCTCAATGCAGGGTGGCACGCTCGGGGCTTCTTCCGAACCCTGCACCGCAACCGATTTTGATTCTCGAAGGGGGGCCGGACTACCACGGAAGGCCCGGAGATCGGTGGCACCGTTCATCGCGGACCTCCGAGCTCGTACTGCTGGAGGGCGACGTCGTGACCGAGTGCGCCATCTTCATCGATTTTGTCACCAACGCTCTCTCTCTACCTCTGCTCACCTTACCCTTGTAACAATCAATATGCAGGGCTGGTGCTGGGCGAATCAAACAGACCGCCACATGGCCAAAGCCCTTGGGATGATCCGACTTGCTCGTACTGAGGGCTGGGCTGCCGCCTGTTTGTCTGACGTGCACTGCCCGTGGGAGTTCACTGACTACCACTCGCTCCCCGGAGCGCCTCGGGACCTACGAAACACCGTCGTCGCGATAGAAGAGTTCATCGTTATCTTCGGTACTCGCAGTGCGATTTTGTTGAGCCCGGCGGCGCAGCAGGCTTGGCGAGATCATGAGTGCCATGTCGCCCGACACGAATGCGGCCGCCTCCTCACAGTGTCTCTGCGTATCAAGGGCGCCTCGTGCGCTATTACATCTGTCTATGCACCAGACCAGTCCTATGGAGCCGACCTCCGGCGTGACTTCTTTGAGCTTTGCGATGAAGTACGTTTGGGAATCCCTGCGTCGACCTCGCAGCTGTGGTTGGGCAATTGGAACAACCATATTGGAATCGATTCCTGCCAACACTACAGCGGCTTGGGCCGATACGGGATGAACACACCGACGGGGACGCCTGGGCGCGAGCTGGCCGCCTGGCTTGCTCACGGCCCGCAGCTCGATCTCATCGATTCGTACTTCAAGATCCGCCCTCGCGGCACATGGTCACACCCTGTGGGCGGTCGCCACATCCACTTCGAACTTGATGTTTGTGCGGAGTCGTCGCCTCTGCGGCGCCGGTTTTCGAGAGTCAAGACGTTCCAAGTGGAATTCAGCGACCACTGTGGCAAGACGTACCACCTGGCCCTCGCCAAGGCCCACGAGGCGTGGCGCGAACTTCGACAACGGGGCGCGGAGGCTCAGAAGCGCCCGCTGGCCCTTCATCGTATGCAGTGCTCGCTCCCCGAGGCCGTCGCCCTGAGAGAACAGTATGTGCGACTTTGCGAAGACCGGACACCGCCTTTGGACGAGAACTGCCCACTTTTTGCCATTCGGGACATCGCTGCGGCAGCTGCCGAGGAAGTGGTGGGGAGAGAGTCAAAACGGTGGTGCACTCCGTACCTCGCCGGCCACGCGCGCGAGATGCAGGCGGAATGTGATGCACTGCGGGAACTTCGCCGCCGCCAGCGACTGGCGCCCACGACGGAGGAGTCCACAGCCCTCCGCCAACAGCACCGGGCTCGGTCCCAGGCGTATCGTGCTCTTCGCCGCAAGTGGCGAGCGGAGTGGATTTCTGGCATGGTCACGGAATTGGAACGCTCCATGCAATTCCATGATATGGGCCGTTTCTACGCCACGCTGCGCGAGTTGGGCGTAAAGCTGCAGGAATATTCCCAGCGTGGACGTCAAGATCACACGCCAGAGGCTCTTCGAGAGCACTACAGCAAGCTGGGGGCTGAAGTCAACACGGTCAGTCAAGAAACCTTGGATAGGTTGCCTCCGCCACGCCCTACCTGTGCAGCTCTCGGCGACACTCCTTCCTCGACAGAGATTTTGGCGCAGATGCAGAAGATGAAGAACT